TGAATATTAGCCTATTATTTTTGGCTAGTTGGTTGTAAATTAAAATATGGGCTATAAAATTGAAAAGTAAGGAACTCAATTGTTCTAATGTGAAATTTTCACATTTTAAACTATTTCTCATAGTAAAGGAATATACTTGGCATTTAACATTCTTTCTTCTCATGAGCTAACGCAAGTTGGATTAACCTCTTTAAAGAAGCACACGTCACTCACTTAACTAGAATCCATTCTGACCACTGTCCTATAAAACTAGACATATTCAAAAACTTTTTCCATAGTAATAACATCTTCAGAATAGAGTCCATGTGGTTATCTCACCCTTCTTTCAAGAACCTTGTCATGGACCAACCAAGAGAATAGACTAGGAGCAACTAAAAATTTTACGAAAAATGTAAAAGAATGGAACATTAGTACATTTGGCAATATTTTTCATAAAAAAATGTACTAGTCTCTAGAATTACTGGGATACAAAGTTTCCCAAAATACACGACCAGTCAATTCCTTCTAGATCTCGAAATAAACCTTCTGAAGGAATTAAATGACACCCTAAAACTGGAAGAGGAATTTTGGAGGCTCAAATCTCGAATACGGTGGTTGAATAAAGGAGATGCGAGCACAAAATTTTTTCACATCACCACCATGCAACGAAGAAGAAAGAATAGAATTCTAAGTCTTAAAGACGAAGTGGGCAATTGGTACTACAACCAAAAAGATGTTAAATTCTTAATAAACAACTATTATACAAATCTCTTTACAACCAGTCATAACAAGTCCCATAAAACGAACCACTACATGTCCTTTTATGCAACTCTTGATAACATGGACCAACAAACCCTGTGCCAAGATGTCATAGTCCGTAAAATTAAAAGTGTTTTAGACTCTTTCAAGCCATACAAAGCTCCCGGGCCGGATGGCCTACACTCCTTTTTTTACCAGAAAATTCTGGAACGAAACCAAAGGAGCACTCATTGACTTCTACAAATACACCTTTAGGGAGAGAAAAATGGCCGAGGATATGAATAGCACCTGTATCTGCCTAATCCCAAAATGTTGAAACCATCAAGCAATATCGATGTATCAGCCTATGTAACACCGCCTACAAAATTATAACAAAAGTCATAGTCAACAGAATCAAACCTCTCCTGGCTAAACTAATCCACCCAACACAAACTAGTTTCATGAAGGGTAGAAGATCCTTAGACAATGTTATTATTGTCCACGAGACCCTAAATCACTTTAAAAAATTAAAAGGAACAAAAGGGAAAATGCTGATTAAAATAGATCTAGAAAAAGCTTTCGATAAACTAGAATGGTCCTTTATAAAGTTCTCACTAACTTCCCTAAACTTTCCTCAAGATTTAGTTGATCTAATCATGTCCTGTATTTCCACTATGTCTACCTCTATCATTGTCAACGGATCCAACTCTGAATTCTTTAGACCGTCAAGAGGTATCCGACAAGGCGACCCCCTATCCCCTTAAATATTCATCATCTGCATGGAAATGCTGTCACGACTAATCCATCATGAAATTGACTGTTGCAGATGGGACCCAATCAAGATCTCTCCAAACAGCCCCTCGTTATCACATCTATTCTTTGCAGACGATCTAATCCTACTAGCAAACGCTAACCAAAAAAGTTGCAACTCCATCATAGATACCCTCAATAAATTTTGCGCATACTCGGGGCAATCCATCAACTATAACAAATCAAGGCTAATATTTTCCAAAAATATTCCAATTGACATAAAAACGACTTTAGCATCTGTTTTTCAATAAGCCACACTAGAGATTTCGGAAAGTACTTAGGATTTTCTATAGGGTTCTCTAACTCCTCAAAGAAAGACTTCCAGTATATCATTGATCGACTAAACAATAGATTAAAATGGTGAAAAATCAATTTCCTTAATATAGCAGGAAGGACCACACTCATAAAGTCAACTCTGGCCGCAACTCCTAACCACGTTATGCAAATATTCAATCTTTCCCAAGCTACTATTAATAATATTGATAAAATACAAAGAAATTTCTTATGGGGGAGCACCTCAGAAAAAAGAAAATGCCACTTGATAAATTGGGACACTGCTACAAAGCAAAAGAAAGATGGGGGTTGGGACTATACAAAACAAAATGGAAAAACCAATCTTTCAGTGCTAGCTTAGCTTGGAGATATAAAAAAGATCATAAATCCCTCTGGAGTAGGGTACTTCATAGTAGATATAATAATAAGAACACCCAACAAAGTTGGAATCTCCAAGATAAAAATGGCTCCCATATATGGAAAAATATTGTCCGGGGCGCAAACATTTGTAAAAGAGATATACATTGGGAAGTTGGAAACGGACAATCAATTAGGACCTGGAAAGACGCCTGGCTAAGCAATGAGGAATCTCTAAGAGCCCAAATCCAAGGGTCATTGATGAATCATGAACAACACCAACCATTAGCAGACATTATTGAAAATAATTCTTATAACTTTAACAAATTATCATTCCAGCTTCCCATCGAGGTTAAGAACAAAATCAATAGCACATACATCAAGCAATTTCAACCTATCGAAGATAAATATAGCTGGGGTAAGAGTACCAATGGGATCTTCACTATCAAATCAGCTTATGAAATGCTCCAATGGAGAGAAGAAGGGGTCACACAAGATTACAAATGGCTATGGAAAATTAATAGTCTCAATAAAATAAAATTCTTCCTTTGGACGACTATTCATAATAAACTCCCCACATCACAAATGCTCTTCAACAGGAACATCACCAACTCTCCAACCTGTAACATTTGTAGCATTGAGAGGGAAGATATAATGCATATGTTCTTTAGGTGCAAGCACTCCAAAACTATCTGGGGCCAAGCTGGCTTCAAACTTCTCCTTCCAGAACCATCAGACAAATACACATTGCACATCTGGTTAAAAGCTCAAAGTAGCTCGAACATTAGATTCAATGAATATCTCGTCCGGTCTGATGTCCTTCCCTTCATCCTCTGGCATATCTGGCTGCATAGAAATGAGACGATATTCAACAACACTAGCAAACCTCTCCTATTAAAAAACATTGTTATCAAACCCATGGAATATAAACTCCTGGCCACAAACCAAAATCGATCCTCAATAACTAGAGATACCATCCTCATCAAATGGAACCCGCCGGAACAAAATATCTATAAACTAAATGTGGATGGATCGTGCTTTGGAAATCCGGGTAAAGGTGGAATAGGAGGAATCATCAGACGGGGCAATGGAGAATGGGTTTTGGGATACAACATGGGTATTTCACATGCAACCAACATTTACATGGAAACATTCGCAGTACTGCATGGCCTGAAATTAGCTATAGAGAACAATTACCTCTATCTCACTATTGAAACGGATTGTAAGGAGCTCATTAATCTAATTGATAATAAGGAATGTGCCTATAATCTAATTGATGATTGCAGATGCCTATTGAGTAGAGCAGGTGATCCGCCACTACAGCACATCTACAGAGAGGCTAACCAGGCGACTGATTCAATGGCGAAGAATGGAAGCAGTTTACCAACACTTACTTAACAACTTATCTTATTCCTCCTATTTTTGTTATTTCTATTTTGGAAAGGGACAAGCTAGGAACTACGTGTCCTAGAACAGTTCCCATTTGTAATGTACTATGGAATGACTCTTAGTATATGTTTTT